TGATTGTTCGGATCACTGGTATCTAAGTCTTCCGCTGTGCTATCTTATACTTTGTATTGAAAGGTCGGTTCTTGTTCTGGTCTGCACCTATACGGTATGCAACAGCTATATAGTTTATTCCTCACTCATATCCCTCACACTACCTAACCTATTATCTCAGTCCAGTTTGCGAACGTTTTTGGTTGTTGCAGTCTATGTGTGCACACATGCTGGGCATCGTAATCCACCGACCTCCTCCCATGTCTAAGCACTGCAGCTTCCTCCTAACTCTACTCTGTGCGGGGAGAAGCGCCCAAGCTCCTAACACCTGGTGTGGGCATATTTTCCTGTTCTGACCTGCAGGATACTTTTGGCGTGAGTCTGTGTGACTAATAATGGAGTTAATTATGGTACGGTGAATGTTTGCAGGTGATTCACAAGCCAGGAAAAGGTGCCTTCTGCTGCACAGAGTTGTACGACTACTTTCTGTGAGTTCCCTCCTTTCCTCCTCTTTCCGCTCATTCCCTACCTCTGTCCCCACCCTCTCTCCGGGAGTTCCCTCCTTTCGGCCTCTTTAAGCTCGGTCCATTGCTCAGTGGTTCAATACTGATAGGAATGATCTATTGCTTGCAGGTGCAAGAACATAACACACCTGATCTTCGCTGGTGTAACTACAGATGTAGCTGTGCAGACTTCCATCTTTGAGGCAAACGACAGAGGATTTGAGTGCTTGTTGATTGAGGATTGCACAGAATCCTATGTTCCGCACTTCAAGCTTGCCGCCCTTGAGACCTTGACCGCTCAAGGAGCAATTGTGGCATGGACTGCAACACTTGAACAGCTAGCTGAAGGGCTGTGCTCAGCTGAGCAAGGAAGGCGACAAGTGTCATCCAGAGGGTCAGGGGACGAAAGCCCACACTTGCAAGTAGCAGGCAATAGTCCTATGCATCATTTCCATTCAGAGAGCATTGACACTGACTGTGAAGTTTACCATGATGCTGTAGACTACGTCAGAATGGATTCAATGACTATCTGTGCTGGTGATGAGGTTGACGAGGAAAGCTATTCTGGCATATTGCCCGAGCAGGATCTCCACGACTCTGAAATGTTTGATAGTTTCAGAGATTGTATCAGTGATACAAAAAGTTGTGATGCGTCAAGGAGGAGTCAGCATCCCAGATGGCGATCAATGTCTATTGACCTTAGACAGGCCATGTCCCAGAACTCTGAATTTTCTGGATCACCTGCTATGTTCTATTCCCCCACATCAGGGCGAGATGATGACAGGTCAAGTATGACAACACGGTTTGACGAGTGCAGGACCTCATATGAAGAGGTAACTAGCCGAATGAGAATTGGGTATGAAGAGAGCCGTGTGACAGAGTCAAGTTCAATCCTTGAGCTGGATCCACCAGTTGATCAGTACCCGTGCCTTGGTGACAGCGATTTTAAAGGGAAGGGGATGGGACATAAAAAAGTGCTAAAAAGGGAGGAGATGATGGAGGAGGAGGAGGAGGAGGAGGAGGAGGAGGAGGAGGAGGAGGAAGTGGCAGAGCAGGGTGAGGCACACGAAGAAGCTGTGGATAGGGAGGTGATGATGTCGGGGGAGATGGTGACAGTGGAGGATGTGGCGAAGGAGGTGTGTGCCGAAAAGGGACTGTTTTCTCAAGGACACTTTGAAGACTCCGAGGTAGACGTGGAGGAGCAAAAGGGGAATGCAGCAGAGGAGAAGGAGGGAAGGGAGGGAAGGGAGGGAGGAAAGGAGGAAGGTGGGGTGAAAAGAAAAGATGATGTGAACGACTTCTCTGAAGAAGAGGTGAAGCAAGAGTTCAAAGAGGAAGCTCGCAGGACTTACTTTCGAAAGGACTTCGAAGCGACAGATTTTCAAGAGGTCAGTAAGATGGCCAGAGATGTGTTGCAAGAGGAGACTCAAGAGGAAGATGAAGTGCAGTTGCGCGAAGAGGTTGGGGAAGAGTTTCGAGAAGAGATTGGAAATGAGTTTGGATACGAGGTTGGAAAAGAGGTTAGGAAAGAGGTTGCCATGGCATCCCGAGAAGAGATTCCTGAAGGGGTCCAATATGAGGTCCAACATGAGGTTCATGAAGAGGTTCGAACTGAGTTTCAAGAAGAGGTCCAAGAAGAGGTTCATGATGAGGGTCAAGAAGAGGTTCAAGAGGAGGTTCGAGAAGATAGTCTGCAGGATTGCAAACTGACAGAAGAGATAATGAGTCTGCAGGATTGCAAACTGACAGAAGAGATAATGACAAAGACTGGAGAGGAGCAAGTGGTGGATGCACTGTCAGGGAGTTACGTGCGATTGCTGACTCATGCAAGTGAATCAAATAGGTGTGCACCTTCATTCTCCCAATTGTCATCCCGAGGCGGGTCAGTGCAAAACTCACCATCATGGGGAGCAGAGAGTTTCTGTCACTGGCAGACTAGAGATGGGCTTGAAGCAACAGGTAGCGACGGGAGAGGAAATGCGGCGGATACCATCATGGATACTGCGCAATGGAAATGTGACGTGGGTACTGGAGGGGTTAGGTATCAAGAATTCCAGAGAACGTTGAAGGACAGAAAAGGAATTCAAGGAGCGAAGGATGTTGTCGTGGGAAAAGTTGAGGTTCGAATACAAGAGATGAGAATGGCAAGTAGATCTTTCGATGGAGAATTTGAGACAAGGAGGGGCGCTGATTGTTTCTCCGTCACAGACACAGAAAATCTAACACGGTCGATGGACACTGACTGCACACAATTTTCAAAGGCTTATGTCCCTGAGACATCGTTTGATAGCATCGATACCCTAGGCAAGGGAGAGGAGCTGTGGAGAGAGGCGCAGGACTACAGCCCTGTCTCGAGAGCCGCAGAGTTGGATGAGGGAAAGCATGCAGCAAGAATGGAAGGGGGGGAGGAACCAGAGTTGGAGATGGAAAGAGATCCGAATGGCAGGGGTGTGGTCATCGAATCAACAGAGGAGGAGATGGATGAAGAGCTGGCAATGACAACGACTACAGAGAGTGAGCCACTAAAAGGAAAAGATGGGTCAAGCCAGCGAAGCCTTGACAGATTGGAGACACGCTCATCAGAGCACTGGTTTACGGCTTGCGTGGATGAAGGCTGCACGGAGGCTGACAAGGAAAAGCAGGGCAATACTAAAGCGAATGGGCAAAAGCAGACGGCCGTACCTCTGGATAATGGGTCAGGCAACGAGCGAAACAACAGACAACATAAGGATGCTCACAAAGAGGATGGATATTATACTGAGGACGAAAGGGAAGATCCGTGTTACCCCAGTCGAGCTTTGTTTACGAGGGTACCAATTAAGAAGATCCAGAATACGATGGCAAAGAAGCTGGAAGACGGCGATGCGGACTACGTCGTCTGCCGTGCAGCCCTTGACGCTCCCACACTTATGTCACCGTCGACAAAGTCATCCACAGGAGGGGACGAAAAGCGCAATGCCAAGCAAGGAACTCAATATCATACTGGAAGGGAACCTCCTGTCAAGGCACAACGGCACGAGCAGGATAAGCTTGAGCCATCCGACGCTGTCAGAAAGTCAGTTTCGCAGTACATCAGCTTTGACAAGTATCTTCAGGTTGTCCCGATCTCGAGTATGAGTGGCGGAATGGATGGGACTGATGTGCACAGCAAACCAAATGCTGAACAGACAAAGGATGTGGATGACATGGTGAGCCAAGGTAATATTGGAGGATCCTTGAAAGTACCACAGTATGGAATGTCGTCACCCGTGAAAAGGAAGGACAATTGGAGTGACGGAGCAGAGAAGGAAAATCAAATGGCCATTGGAGTGCCACTGGGAAATCCTTTGCTACCGGGGTCGGGTCCACTTCGACCAACACCAGCACAGTCAGCCGCAGCTATCAGGGCACAGATGATAGTGAGCAAGAATCTGCCTGGCCAGTATCGTGAGGAACGGTGGAGTGAGCCATCTGTAGATCCCAGAGTAGAGCGGGGTGAGGGGACAAGATCTTGTGGATGCATTCCAAGGGGGCTCTTCTTCAGAAACAGCTCTAGCAGCAAAAGAAGTAGTTGTTAGACCGAACAAGTCCATGCGCACAGAAGGCAATCCATCCACCTGCTGACAAGTTTGCACAGATGAAACATCATCCACAGTAACGGATTGTACTCCATTTCTGTTTGATCTCGTTGAGCATAGTCTAATCTAGTCGATTCGATTTTAAGCCTCTCTGCTCTAGCTTGACCTAATGCAGTCTGGTCTTGCGCCCTTGATACAAGGAGTGCGCTACCAGATCTTGTGGAAACAAAGGCCCATTAGGTTTTTTCATCCAACTGTGATCATTCCCGCACAGCATCCTAAAACGCAGGAAGCCGACAAACCCGCCCTGATAGCAGGCACTTGGAGTTACTGGAGTTTAATCGTAGTCTTGTATGATTTCTCTACTATGTCCTAGCGTAACCTGACCTTGTCCAGTTTGATCTGATCTAGTCTGGTCTCGTCTCATCGGTGTACTCACTCTACGGTTGTGGAATCTATTGTGATCTGCTTTTAGCCTAGACTAGAAGTAGCCTAATTGAATCCAGCCTAATCTATAGTAGTCTAAGTAGGCTAATTGAATCCAGCCTAATCTATAGTAGTCTAAGTAGGCTAATTGAATCCAGCCTAATGTATAATAGTCTAAGTTAGTCTTGTATAACTCTGACCATCTCTGATAACTTTAATGTGCAAACTATTCTGGCCTTGTTCCAATCTTATCTCTATCTATTGCAGGTTAAGTCTGACTAATCAGTGAGTACTCTTTCCTATTCTAGCTTTAGGCTAATCCAGTGTAGAGTCTGTAGACAGAGTATTGAATTTGCTGTCCAGAATTGTGATACAAGGATATGTAAGTATTTGGACACGATTCCAGAAGAAATTCATTTGTCAGTGGAGTAGAACATACCAGCACCTGCATGCAGATAGTCAGACTCCTCTAACTCCAGCTTCAATTCTTGTTATGTACATGGCATGGTTCGTTTGTGGAACGTGTCGAAATTGGCGGGAGACCATATTCTTGTCTGATTTCTCTAGTCTAGTCTAGTCTAGTCTAGTCTAGTCTAGTCTAGTCTAGTCTAGTCTAGTCTAGCCTAGCCGGACCTTGATCAGTCTGGTCTGATCTAGTCCGGTCCGATCTCATCTAGTGTAGTCTTATCTATTGTGCTATGCTCTTAGTCGAGCCGTAATCCAGAGAAGCCAAAGTTGGCCTCACAAAACTCTTGATGTTTTTTGATGACTTGAATGTGCAAACTATTCTGGTTCTCATCTAATCTCAGTTCACTGCAGTCAAGCCTGACCAAGTGTGGACACCCTATGCTTTCTTATTCTAGCTTTAGCCTAGTCCAATCTAATAGACCGAGTATTGATTACCTTCCAGAATCGTGATGTAGGGGGATGCACGTACTTGGACATGCTCATCGAAGACATTCATTTGTCAGTGGAGTCGAGCACACCATGCCCTGCTTGCAAATAGCCGGACTCGTTTACCTCCAGCTTCATTCTTATTGTGTGTGTGGCCATACTATGGTCCCCAAGTTTATCTATAGTCTACGCCTTAAGCGAGCATCAGCGTCTTGTGCGTGAAGAACAGGTCAGGTTAGCTTCCGTCGACTCTGCACAGGTGGGTCGGTCTAGAGCGGACCATGACTTGCCAGGTTACTTAGGAGTCCGAACCACCCACTGAGGATGCAGTGGGTGGTAATCGTCCGTATCTGCTTGACAGCTAAGCAGAGAAGGTTTCATGGTTACCTTTGCTATTGTCAGTCCGGCAGTTCACTGCCATGACTGCCATGATGTCGTGCCACAGTTCAATGCCTTTTGCAGACCACTATGGGCAGAATAGGGGCTTTGATGCAGCAGCCCTGCTGATGCGCTCCTTGCTGCATGGCAATGAGAAGGTTAGTCAGGGCGTTGCTATGTACAGCATTTATCGACTAATGAGTTGCCTGGGCGATCTGGAAGCTGTTTTTCAGTTATACAACAGCACTGTAGAGAAATCTTGGCATTCTATCCGTTGCGTCTTTTGATCGAAAGGGTCTGTCTCTTCTTCGAGATCCAGCCCGCATCAAGCTAGTTGGGTGTTTGTATTTATAAATCCCGAAAACCCTGAAGTGTTGAGCATCTGATCGTCTTTACTCGGCTGAGCTTCAGACAAGGACATTTCAAGTAATATGTACTCGTACCAGCCAATCCCTTGGACTCTGCAAGTCCAGGTTTCGCAGCCTCTGGTTTTCTGGGATTGCAGTGGTTCCGAATGTTGAATAGTAGATTTCCCTGAGTCGTGGAGATGGGCACTGTAGCACCCTTCTGCAATGAAAGGCACATGGCTACCAAGTTTCGTCATTGAGATTAGTGGGAAACGTTCCTTCATGGGAGCGCGTTGATGCAACCTGGCATTTTCCAAGTTTGTGTCGCAGAGGATTGTCAAACACTGGAGTTAGTCAAATTGTGACAGTGGTCACTTCTGTGCTCTCTGGTGAAATTTTCACTGTCATACATGTGCCTTCCAGTTCACTAATTGCCTCTGCAGTATTGGTTAATGTGATTCGGCATTTACCAGGATGGAAACAATGTAGTTGGCCAGATCATAAGCAGGCTGCTGGCCGTGCAGTCTGGGCGCCAACAGGGCAGGGGGAAGTTTGTTAGTGGGTTGATCAGCCTGGAAGGGTGCCAACAGGGCAGGGGGAAGTTTCTTAGTGGGTGGACCAATATGTCTTATGACTCCTATCTCATACCCGTAGTTCAAGCAGAATTGATAATCATGAGTTAGTGATTGCGTTTGTGGGTAGAGAAATTGGTGGCAGGGTAGATCCCCATTCATGCTGCTGCGATCCAGCGGTTGGCTCATGCAGCTGGAAAGGAAATTTGTGTTGATCACCAGAAATTATGATATAATAAATTCACGTAATTATATAATAATTAGTAATATATTTAACTTTTTTAAACCAATTGCTTAAATTCATATTATCATTTTCGTTTTTTCATCCACATGTCTTCCATCCTTCCCTCACTTGTGAATGCCCCGTCCAGTGTGTAGGAACACCCTTACCCCCTTTCCCCCTTTCCCCAGCTCATGGGATAGCCAGTTTGCGGCCAAATATGTCTCTCTACCAAATGATACATAGGCCTCTAAAGGTGTTGTTACCTCAACCGTTTCTGCCAAATGCCCCACCTCTGTAAACCTAAGCCCCTAAACGTGTTGTTGCTCGCACTTGTCTACCAAGCCCCTGAAGGTGCTGTTGCAAACACCTTTAAACCCAGATGTTGCAAGTCTTTACAAGTGTTATCGCTTCATATTAAGATCCTGGTCAATTTCAAAGTACAAATTCACGAGAAAGGACAATGCCATCCGATTGCAAAAAGAAATGAATGAACTTGGGAGGAGAGAGAGGTTGTTGTTACCTCAACCTTTTCTGTCAAATGCCCCAGCTCTGTAAACCTAAGCCCCTAAACGTGTTGTTGCTTCCACTTGTCTACCAAGCCCCTGAAGGTGTTGTTGCAAACACCTTTAAACCCAGATGTTGCAAGTCTTTTATAAGTGTTATCGCCTCTTGTTAAGATTCTGGCCAATTTCGAAGTACAAATTCACGAGAACTGACAATCCCAGCCGATTGCAAAAAGAAATGAATGGACTTGGGAGGAGAGAGAAGAAGAAGAAGATGTACACCAGCAAAGACCAATGATAATTCCCCTTCTTTTCGCCAACCAAACTCCTCCTCCTTTTCTCCTCCCCTCTTATTCAAACAATAAATAATAATGATGATGAATGGCCGAACCAGAATCAATGTCCAAATCCCTTTTCTACTGCAGGCACAACATGAGGTCCACCATAGCCATGGCCACCCTTCTCCTTCCTCTTCATGAAGGCCGAGGCTATGGGGGACTACTAGGGCCTTGCCCTGATGTGCAAAAGGCAACTCAAGCAGCTATGGCTGCTCCAGCTCAGGCCACCATCCCTGACTCTGTCTCGAAGCTTCTTGATGTAGCTCTACCCCCAATGCGGCCTTCCAGGATGAAGATGGCGTCCACCATAGCCAGGTACGTACCTCTGGCGCTCCCCCTACCTAGTGCTCTGCTTCCTCCTCCAGCCTGAGCTCCACCATAGCAACGGTGGGGAGTTGGGCGCTCTTCCCCACACAGAGCTGCACACTAGCGCTTCTCCTCCAGCGCTGCAGCCGCGTGATTTCCAAACTTGCAATGTTGCAAATGAGGAGCGCTTCGCTCCTCCTGGAGATATAGCGGCCTACTTGCCTCTTGGGCGGTGACTTCCAGGCCGTGCGGCCTCCAAGCAACCGGTACCTCCTCCCTTTCGGAGGGAAACATCATTGCAGGCTCTGATATTGCCCGTACAGGCCCTAGACTCAGACTACTTGGACTGCTACCCGCCTAGACCTAGCCTACAACCATTGGGCCTCTAACAATGCCAACTTTTGTCGTCTTCTGCTCGGCCTCAAGTACCTGGCACATCTACTACTACGTGGTGTGGTACCGGCCTACCTGCTACTTGAGTGTTTTTCCGTGCTCTAAGTGTAGCAGGCCTATTCCCACCGCTTGAGTGTTTTCCCCGCTGCAACCCTGAAAGTCACGTTGTCGAGCGCATCGGCTCCCACCTTTTTCGCAAGGGTGAGAGCCCTCCCGGCCATGTCACGTAGGAGTTAAATAAAACAAAATTAGAGACAACTCGGGAACGACGCAAAATAATCCCGCGAGTCGCCGAGACGGTCGCGGTCACGTCGCTCGTTTGCCGCTCTAGCTGGGTGCGCCAGCTATACATCCCGCGGTCCCCCACGATAGAATAGGTTCCCACGGGGCATAAGCTTTCCCTCCCTAAGGGGCTGTCACCACCCTTAGGGGTGTATCCCTACCGAGCTACTGACCCACATGCGAAAGCTTTTAAATGCAATCGCAGAGGTAGGTCAGCTGAGGGCGTTTGCTCGTTCGTTGTAGTATGGATACGCTTGGTTAACGCCAAGCGAACCCGAACGTCGTCCGTTCCTAGGGCGCTGATCTCCAAAGCACGGAGCGGACGCCGGTCGACTAGGACGGTCTCAACCAAGCGTGAAACCCGCAACTCCATCCTAACCCCTTAGATATACCGTTAAAAGAAAATTATAACAACCACACATATAATTATATCAAAAGGATCGACCGTAGTCGATAGGCAAGTGTATCCAAACTGAAATGATAACTAAAAGGATTTAAATCATCATACAATACATCCAATAACACAAGATCGAAATAAACAATCCGACCGCCTCAGGTCGGACACCATAAAACAATCATACCTCCGCCAACGAGAAGTTGGCTTCGACAGTAACCACGATGCAACCGACAAGGTCGTCGTTCTGCCTTAGTTTTGAATTGATGAGACGTATTGTCAAAGTCATTCATTCAACCTATCACTGACTTAAGACCAGACGCGCTCACACCTGTCGCCATACTTTTCAAATCTTATTGAATGACAGGCTGCCTTGCGGATGATTCTTGATTAGGGGCATTGCTTGAAATGTTGCATGCCTCTTCCTCTAGGAAGTGGTTTGGGGTACTCCTCCTCCTCGTCCGAGCACAAGACTCGGATCTCAGAAGTCGGCCCGTCTCCACCGAATCGGCAAGTACCCCTCCGTAGAACGGTCCACTCTGGGTCGATAACAGGGTCGGCTCCTGAAGCAATGAACCCCCGCCCCAGATGCTTCCTAGGGATAGAAGATGTGTCCACTGCAAGTAGCTCTCAATTATTCTCATTTCTCGTGAATTCAGGGTAGCTTGGACGAAAATAAATCGAAGGAGATAGAGAACGAGAATCATTTGGATAGGTATAGCTAGATAAGGTCATTCGCGATAGAAAGAGTCATTCCTTGGGAGAAGGCTAAGCCCGTTTATTTTTATTCTTCATTATATCTACAAGTTTTCCTTCACGACACAATTGAAATTATTCACTTCAAAATTCAAGTACTTTTCTCATGCAGGGAGGTGGGAGATAGAAACAAACAATCATTTTCTTCATCTCAAATAAGCATAATCAATCTTCTTTGCGAGCATCCTTTCACCTACCTGCACAGCATGCAAAGAAATACGTTCAAAAGGAAACAGTACAATCCCATACTCGAGTCAGACTTTTCCATTCACATGTGTGACTCACACAACTTTCCTCTACCTTTTCTTTCGAACATTCAAACGAACAGGGTCAAACAAAATGTGGGTTCACATAGGTGTGACAAAAAATCTGAGTCAATCAACGGACTGACCTCGAGTGAAGTTTGAGAGACGGCCCACTCAAGAAAGGCGAGTAATATATCAATCAAAAGAAAATGACCGTCGTAGAATATGCGGCTCACAACTCCACAAGTTTTGGCCTTCCTCCTGATTCACAGTCCGCGTCTTCCACCACGTGTCAAAATGAGCAGAGGTTGGGCCACACAAACTCGAGCGAGATAGCCCTCCAAGAGGGTGTTCCCACAAATGAGTTTTCACGTGGTCTCAATGTCCCAGGCTGCCCCAACATAGCCCCAACTGTACTTCCCCCACGAAGGATACTCTCAACCAATTGCAAGCCCACGCCGTCTCCCATCACCACGTCCACTCACAATAGCCGCACCAACATGCTGGTCCTTATCACATCAATCAGTCCTACCTAGTCCCGAAACGATCCCAGATGGTCCAAATGAAGTCTCACACAATCGCTCGCAACACCAGATGGTCCAAAACTCAAAAACCGCTCGCTATGCGTGGCACAAAGAAAAATAAACGTGGCCCTGGCTGAAAACCGCATGTACCGCGAGCCCCACAAAAAAAAAAAAATAAAGATGTCCTTCCGGCGCAACCTGCAAGCGCCGCAACTACAATGACCACCGTCGCGAGTACTCACTCTACGTTCTCTTCATGCCACCAGCTCACGCATCGGTACCGCACAGTCCCAACCATGCACCAGCGCTAGCCCAACCTCTAGGCCACACTGAAATCCACCATAACCATTGCGCACCACGAAAATAACGGCGGACCACTGCTTGTTGCGCTGTCAAAACCGGTACCATAGCTGCCCCGCAACACCACCGCCAGATCACACACAGAAAATTGCCTCCACTGCGACGCAAAAGACCCGCAGCATTGTCCCTCACAATAGTGTCACCGGCGTGCTGCCAACTGGACAGCATGACCCAAAAAAATAATTTTGACGCCACCGCCAATTTTTGCAGCATGATCCCGCCGGATACACTGTCGTTGCTGCGCCGCTGATTGAGCAACACCTCCCCGCACTCAAAGTGCGACTTCCGCCACCGGCGTGAAAACCTGCAGCGCTTCCACATCATTGTCGTTAAAACCAGTGCCACCGCTGCAAAATTCGGCAGCGCTTCCGCATCACTGCCAAAAAAAATCACAGTTGCCACCGAAAAAGTTCGGCAGCGCTCCCGCAGTACGTCAACAAAAATTGTCGTTGCCGCAAAACTCGCGCAGCATCTCCCTAACACTCCTCCAATTATGGCGGCCATGTGCATCATAACCCTACACCTTACAGAATATGGTCGCCGACTCCGCGTTGAATGAAGAACACCTTCCCACCACCTCTCCAACAATGGTTGTCGTCGCCGTGATGGCCACGCAGCACCTCCCAAGCACTTCACAAAGTGAAGTGGTGGCTATGGCTGCCTCCCTTCTCCTCCTCCAACTCCCTGCAAACCTCCACTCCACCAGCAGCACCTCCACCGGCAACACCACCCCTCTCCAGCAGCATGCAGCAGTCGGCCAGCATTCACACAAGTCAATGCTCCAGCAACACTGCCACAATTGTGAGGCTACTGGGTGGAGTGTTGACTTTTATAGCCAGTTGATGGCATGTGAGCAGCTGCGCAGCTGCTTTGCCCACAGCAGGCAAAATTCGTGGGTGCTCCTGGCCCTCGATCTAAATTGATGGCCAG